ATTAAAACTAAAAATATAATAATATAAATGTTTATATCTTTTTATAGGAAATGACATAGCTCAAAATCTTGATTGAGCCCATATGGAATCAATGTTTTAAAATTGTAGATGCATTTCATCTCTTCTTCCCCTATTTTTCTATTAAAATCTCCCTAGTTTCCATTCATCGTCTAGTCTGACACAGAGGAGGTTATAGGCACCTCTCAAGTACAACTTGGTATAAACAGCTGCAGCCTGTAATCTCTCTATTCATTCAGGGATTAGGGGGAGTGGATATTTATGCTTTACAGTGATCTGGTTTAATTCTCTGTAGTCCATACAGGATTGTAGACCATTATCCTTTTTTCCCACAAAGAAGTTGCCTGCTTATGCAGGGGAAGTAAAAGGTCAGATAAACCTTTAGACAAGTTTTCATGTACGTACTTCTTTAAGATGTTTAACTTTTTCTCTGCTAGAGAGTATATCCTGCCATAGGGCATAGGAACCCCAAGAAGCCAATCATACAAGCTGGCCAACTAAGAGCTTACTATGCAGACAGCACATTGAGCTAGGCATAATTGCGTCTAACAATGCGCTCGCTCAAATCTGTCCCCTAGAACTCACTGGTCCACTTGTCTCCTTACCTTCTTACTAGGAGGCAGAAGCTCCTGGTATATAGTCTGGGACAGAGAAAAGCTGTATGTAGTGAGTGTAGAAGGAAGGGAACAGGCCACAGTGTTAGAGAGACCAAAGTCAGCATTAGCTTAACTAATTTCATTGTCAGCCAGTCCACACAGGTTTTGTTTCCATATATCCCTCTTGAGTTTCCATAGTTAAGCAATATTATGTGAAAAGTAGTTAGGACTGCCACCTTTCTTGGAAGAACATACCAGCCTTAGTAATTTGCATAATTAATTATGTATGGGTGACATCACAGGATGAAAATTACAAAGAGTGACATAAGAGAAAAAGCTGTAAAACTCACCAAAAAACTACTTACAGTTTTATTCTGCTGTATAGATGGATTGCTCCCAGTGTCTCCCTGTCCCCCAGTGTCTCACGTCGCCCACTGTCTCAGTGTCACTATGTATCGATTACCCCAGGTCTCCCAGTGTCCCTATGTATCACAGTGTCTCAGTGCCCCATGTGTCCTCGAGTCTCCCAGTGTCCTCATGTCCCAGAGTACCCAGGTCTCCCAGTGACACTATGTATCAAAGGGTCTCCTGGTGTCCTCCTGTGTCTCCATGTCACCCAGTGTCCCCATGGCTCCCTGTGTCCCCATGTCTCCCAGTATCCCCTAGTGTCTGTGTCCCCATGTCTTACATGATCCCCATGTCACTAGGACACTAGGAACACTGAGAGGTACGGGGACACTGAGACAGGGGACATTGGGAGACCCGGGGACACAGAGAAATGGGGACATTGAGACACTTGTACCACTGGGAGACATAGGGACAAAGACACAAGGGACACTGTGAGACACTTGGGGACACAAGGGGACACTGAGAGACTAGGGGACACTGGCTGGGACACATGAGGACACTGGAAGACTAGCGGACACTGAGACACCAGGTACACTGGCTTGGAGACATAGGGACATTGTATCCCTAGTGTCTCAGTGTCCCCATGTCTCTGTGTCTCCAAGTGTCTGTCATAATGTCTCCCAATGTCACTTAGTGTCCCCATATCTCCCAGTGCCCCATGTCTCCTTGCAGCCTTTACCCCCATCCCTCACTCCCCTGAGCTGTAGGCTGTCTCTGCAGGCTGGGAGTTGCTGTCTGGACTCTCTGTATCTACTTCCCTGCAGATCAGTGAGTAGAGCTAGACAGGGAGGGATATGCTGGAACTTTCTATCCCTGCCTTTCTCCACACACAGAGACCCCTACTGGTCAGTGCTGGTATTGCGTCGTAATCTCTGTTTATACTGACCAGGCAGCCTCAAATACTGGCTGTGCCAGTAAAATAACAGCCAGGTGGAAACCCTAAGAGTAGTGTGTAAAAAAAAAAAATATATATATATATATATATATATATATATTTATATATAAATATATATATATATATATATATTTTTTATTTTTATTTTTTTAATTAATGGGCCTATTTCATGGGCATGTGCCTGGAGCTGCAGCTCCATCAGCCCCTGTGTTAATCCAGCCCTGTTCCTGTGGTCCAGTTGATGACAGGCTCAAGGAAGTAGATCAAATGTTGAGTCTAGAAAACAGCCGCTTGTTCCCGAATCAATCAAGGCTCGGCATGCATGGGTATTCGTGTATCACTGCAAGGAAAGAGATTTGGATTATGGAGGTACAGAGGTAACCCGTGAGGAAGGTAGAAATTATAAATGTACTCGCTTACCCCTGGTGTCTCTGTTTTTTTCTGGACAGGTACTCACAGAATGATATGGGCGACCACAATGTAGACAGAGGTTCTTTCATTCGACGCTGTAGTTCTGCAGAGGGTAATCGACCTTGAATCAGTCCTATCTTCATGGGTTCCTCAGTCTGAGCAGTGTAAGAGGAAGACTAGTAACCTGGAGGGGACATTGTTGGTCTTGTTGGAACGGATAGGGGAGGAGCTTTCTCATGGCGTCTCCCACATGAAGCATGAAGGCCTCCAGTGTTTTGGGGATGCCAAAGTGTGCAAAAGTCTTTGAGAGTCTCAGGCAAGCGCAAACGGAATTGATTAATCAGTCCTATCTCATTCCATTGGATTTCAGAGGCAAACCTTTTGAAATCAGTGATGTAATCCTCAACAGATCTGCATCCTTGTCGTAAAAGCACGTATGGCTGTTTGAGCAGTCTCCTCTATCTGGATCATCATATATGGAAGACATGACAGCCACAAAGGAATTTCTTTCTTCGAATTGGGTGGCAAAACTCCTTCCTCCCCTGAACGCTGATTGGCGCGACTCCCCTTTCAGCTGATTGGTTGTTGCTTGGTTTGGGCGCGAAGTTTGAATTCACCGGACTAAACCAAGCGACGCCATGGAACTAATTTCGAGGATGCACAGAGCCTTGAGCCCCAGACTTTCAATGCTGATATCTTGGGCTCTGTACATCCGACCACCCCGCTTTTTGTAGGGATCCCAGATGGGACCCGGGGCTATCTAGCAATGTAGGGGCTATCTAGCAATTTCGTCCCTGTAACCTCTTCCCTTCCAGGGGCGCTGAGCCCCAAAGTGTAACCCCCTGAATGTTTTATGGTTCAATGTGTATCCCTGTGTACTGTTTTGTATCTCCCAGGGAGGGAGATGGCTATATGTAACCCAGCCCCCTCCTGCCTGGGACTAACAGAAGTGTATTGTGTGGAATGAAGACCCCCTGCGGGGTTCTGTGCATAAAAGAAGCCTGTGTTCAATAAAGATTGAAACAGAAAATAATAGGTGCTCTCTATTACACAATAAATAAGTGAGGGCTGCTGTATACAGTAAGAGGATTCCCAAAACCTTGTGTAGCAGTAAAGCAAAAAGAGTAAAGTGTATACTGCACCCAGAATTATACACACATACAGCTGTAGTGAGGAGGGCTGGTTGAAGACCTCAGAATAAAAAAACAAACCATAATAGTGCAATACAATTTTGGCAAGGTGAAAAATATTAAATTAATAGCTGTAGGAGAACCACTCACATTTAGAAGAGCTATACAAGAGCTCTGCTTTGTAGCGCATGGACGGTATAATCCCTGTCTAAGGATATAAGATGGTGCAGATGATGCTGGTCTTCCAGATGCAAATGCAGGTATAGATGGTATATGTAAAATTAAAGAACAGAGAGAAACTCTGATAGAGTGGTATGTACTGTAAGTTTAAATAAAAATAACTCATTTACTTACAATTTTCAGAACAAAGGCCTGCTCTAGTTATCTCAGCATGGGTGGTATTATACCCACCTAGGGATGTAGTAGAACCAGGTAGCAGTCAGGATACAGAACAGGATACAAAATAAATGTATTCTATAAAAGATAACTATTTATTGTAAAAAGCATAAGAAATACACTAATAAAATAATAATAAGGTACAAAAGTCCTCAAATAAGTCCCACTTGACGAGTTTTGGGAATACTTTTAATGTCACAAGGCAGGTACTGCCACACTAGGTCTTCCCTTTGTGTTATAATAATAGCCCCCAACACCAATTGAGTGGTGGCTGGGGTGGGGACATTAGATGGGACACAGACCTCCAAGGTATGTTATAATAGCCCCCACCCCTACATTACAATTAGTGATGTCGCGAACACGAAATTTTCGGTTCGCGAACGGCGAACGCGAACTTCCGCAAATGTTCGCGAACCGGCGAACCGGGCGAACCGCCATAGACTTTAATGGGCAGGCGAATTTTAAAACACACAGGGACTCTTTCTGGCCACAATAGTGATGGAAAAGTTGTTTCAAGGGGACTAACACCTGGACTGTGGCATGCCGGAGGGGGATCCATGGCAAAACTCCCATGGAAAATTACACAGTTGATGCAGAGTCTGGTCTTAATCCATAAAGGGCAGAAATCACCTAACATTCCTAAATCACAATGGATATGGATTGACACCTGACATGACATATTGACACCTTGACATATGGATTGACACCTGTCCTCAGAGCCCCTGATGCACACGGACACAGAGCAGAATAGGGACTGGTCCCCTACATAGGGTCACTTGGCAGATATGGATTGACACCTGTCCTAAGGATCCCTGATACACACTGACACAGAGCAGAATAGGGACTGTTCCTCCTACATAGGGTCACTTGGCAGATATGGATTGACACCTGTCCTCAGGAACCATGATACACACTGACACAGAGCACAATAGAGACTGTTCCCCCTACATAGGGTCACTTGGCAGATATGGATTGACACCTGTCCTCAGAGCCCCTGATACACACTGACACAGAGCAGAATAAAGACTGTTCTCCTACATAGGGTCACTTGGCAGATATGGATTGACACCTGTCCTCAGAGCCCCTGATGCACACTGACACAGAGCAGAATAGAGACTGTTCCTCCTACATAGGGTCACTTGGCAGATATGGATTGACACCTGTCCTCAGAGCCCCTGATACACACTGACACAGAGCAGAATAGGGACTGTTACCCCTACATAGGGTCACTTGGCAGATATGGCGTGGTTGTGGGAGGAGGAGGATGACTTTCACCTCTTCCCCTGTTAGATTCCCGTTGTGCTGTGACATCACCCTTATACGCTGTGTAAAGCATACTTTTTAATTTATTTTGCAAATGCTGCATCCTTTCCGACTTGTAATTCGGTAACATTTCCGCCACTGTCTGCTTATCTGGTCTAGTAGCTTGGACACCCAGCACAGGTCGTTCTCCTTCAGCCTTTTTATACGAGGGTCCCTCAACAGGCACGACAGCATGAAAGACCCCATTTGCACAAGGTTGGATGCCGAGCTACTCATTTCCCGTTCCTCCTCCTCACACAGAGCAGAATAGGGACTGTTCCCCCTACACTTGGCAGATATGGATTGACACCTGTCCTTAGGGTCCCTGATACACACTGACACAGAGCAGAATAGGGACTGTTCCTCCTACATAGGGTCACTTGGCAGATATGGATTGACACCTATCCTAAGGATCCCTGATAAACACTGACACAGAGCAGAATAGGGACTGTTCCCCCTACATAGGGTCACTTGGCAGATATGGATTGACACCTGTCCTCAGAGACCATGATACACACTGACAGAGAGCAGATTAGAGACTGTTCCCCCTACATAGGGTCACTTGGCAGATATGGATTGACACCTGTCCTCAGAGACCATGATACACACTGACACAGAGCAGAATAGAGACTGTTCCCCCTACTTGGGTCACTTGGCAGATATGGATTGACACTGTCCACAAGGACAAGCTGCAGGCTTCCTGGCAGGGCCCATACAAGGTGGTAGAGCAGGTTTGTGATACCACTTTTGTGATCGGTGCGGTCACAGGCTCGGGAGGCAAGCGCATGCTCCATGTGAACCTGCTCAAGCCATACCACGAGCGCACGGAAGAGGTAACCGCGATCTGTGCACCTGCCACTGAAGATTATGATAATTTGCCACTCCCAGATCTCCTAGACCTAGAGGGCCAGAGCGGAGACCTGGGAGAAGTACAGTTAGGAGAATGGTTAGACCCCCAGGAGCGAACCCAGGTCCAAAAACTAATCCAGGACAAGGGGGCCACGTTTTCCAACCTACCTGGGTACAGTCCGTTAACCACTCACAAAGTTGAAACCCTAGACCAGACTCCCCTTCGCCAAACCGCCTATCGCATACCCGAAGCAGTTAAAGAAAATATTCAGAAAGAAATTGAGGAAATGATGCAGTTAGGGGTGATAGAACACTCTAACAGCCCCTGGGCCTCCCCGGTAGTACTAGTACCGAAACGGGACGGCACGACCCGTTTCTGTGTAGACTACCGGAGGCTAAACGATAAAACAACCTCAGACGCCTCGTCTATGCCCCGGATAGACGAGCTCCTAGACAAAATGGCCAGAGGCCAGTACCTCACCACAATAGATCTGTGCAAGAGGTACTGGAAAATTCCATTAGCCGAGGACGCCATCCACAAGTCGGCATTTGTCACCTCGTTTGGCCTGTATCAGTTTAAGGCCATGCCATTCGGGATGAAGAATGCCCCGGCTAACTTTCAGAGGATGGTAGATCGGCTACTGGATGGGTTTCAGGAGTATACCTGCGCCTACTTGGATGATATAGCCATTTTTAGCTGCTCCTGGCCCTAACACCTGACCCACATAGGAGCCGTACTAGACCGGATTAGGGAGGCCGGACTGACCCTAAAGCCCAGTAAGTGCCATATAGGAACGCGTAAAAACCTCCCCAAGATAGTAGTATGGGACCCAGAGTGTGAACAGGCCTTCCAACAGCTCAAGACGGCGCTCATTAAATCACCTGTACTTTCTGCTCCTGATCCAACTAAACGCTTTCTCGTCCATACAGGCGCTTCTATGTTTGGATTGGGAGCAGTACTGAGCCAAGTCGGAGCAGATGGCGGCGAGCAACCCGGGGCTTATCTAAGCCGGAAACTTTTGCCCAGGGAAGTAGATACACTGCCATTGAAAAGGAGTGCCTGGCGGTGGTGTGAGCCCTCAAAAAGCTGCAACCTTACTTGTATGGACAACCGTTTACCTTACTCACAGATCACAACAAATTTGGGGCACTGCGCGTGCAATCTAATGTGCCACCAGATAGGAGTGGTGTGTTAAGTAGTACTATTCTTATCAGTTTAATCCCTGTTACGTCCCCTATCCGTTGATGTGGAGCAAGACGCAGCAGCAGAAGAGGACTCAGCCGAGGAGGTTATGGAAGAGGATGGAGTAGGAGGAGTAGAGGAGGTGGCAGCAGGCCTGCCTGCAAGTCATGGCGGTGTCACCAACTCCTCTGCAGAGCCACGCATTCCATGCTTGGCAGCCATCAGCAGGTTTGCCCAATGCGCAGTGTAGGTGATATACCTGCCCTGACCATGCTTTGCAGACCAGGTATCAGTGGTCAGATGGACCCTTGCCCCAACACTGTGTGCCAGACATGCCATTATTTCCTTTTGCACAATCGAGTACAGGTTGGGGATTGCCTTTTGTGAAAATAAATTTCGTCCGGGTACCAGTGAGTGAGTGGTGGCACTGGGCACAGTATCCACTGTGAGCCTGACACACCTGCTGGCAGACAACTAACTGCTATTTAATCTATAACAGTGAAAAAAGTTTTTTGTTTTTAAATGCAAGCTATTGTGACACCAGATATGAGTGGCACTGTGAACTGGCAGAGTACACGCTGTAGGGCTGACACACCCGCTTTGAGACAACTAACTGCTATTCAATCTATAACAGTGAAAAAGTTTTTGGGTTTTAAATGCAAGCTATTGTGACACCAGTGAGTGAGTGGTGGCACTGGGCACAGTATCCACTGTGAGCCTGACACACCCGCTTTGAGACAACTAACTGCTATTCAATCTATAACAGTGAAAAAAGTTTTTTGTTTTAAATGCAAGCTATTATGACACCAGATATGAGTGGCACTGTGAACTGGCAGAATACACGCTGTAGGGCTGACACACCCGCTTTGAGACAACTAACTGCTATTCAATCTATAACAGTGAAAAAAGTTTTGGGGTTTTTAAATGCATGCTATTGTGACACCAGATATGAGTGGCACTGTGAAC